ACTCAGAAAAAGGAATATGATTAGTATCATCATTCAAAATACACAAATTACTGTAACTGCTCTTAGGAAGTATATTTAATCCCTTCTCTGGAAGTGAACAGATACGGAATTTTTCCTGGGCAACTAACTCAATAGTTACTTAAAACTCCTTTATAGGAGGCTGGCGTTCTTTTGAAACTTTCAAAGAACCAACTGATTCTAGAAAATTCCATAGTGAAACAGCTCAATATGGACAGTTATACCATAATTTAATATCTTTATAGTATATTAGAGACAACATATGCATATACTTCCCTCACTTCTCACCATTTGTTTTAACCTCTCTGTTTAGGAAGGACTAGAAAACCAACCTAGTTGTAATACAGCTCCAAAAGTTCATGTAAAAGGTTAGACTCATCATGACCACTTTCATAGAAAAGACTTAATTTTTTATGTACAGAACAAAAATAAAGCATGATTTAATAAGCTACTAGGTATTTTACAAATAAATCTAGAAATTTGTTAGTATGTACATGCAATTGCTGGTATCAGAGTAAGAAACAAGTTACTAAACAACTAGGTTTTGGCCTAAGGAACAAAAGGTAAATCTGGAAGAAGGCTGGATTAGAGTGTGTCATAAGCTAAGATGCAGGATGGACGCTGCCGGTGAGTCACCCAATATGTCATATTTACAAATTTAAAGAGCACTTTTTAAAAATATTAAGATCTTAGTTCTCAGAAAAAAAATCCCCACCATGATTTAAAGTATGGGATAAACTCTCTGAAGATAATTATAACTGTCCCTCATAACCACCAAATCTAGCTCCCATTCCCACGTCCCCCAGCTTCCTTCTCTGACATCATAAATGTGTAGCCGACTCACTTGGCTGAGTATCCTGTGAGGTTTTAATCTAGGTCCAGCTCTCAAAATCAAGAGTCACATATTCTAGGAGCACCTAAAGAAATTTAGGTAAATGGAGTTAGACTCCATTACGACACACACGAATGCATTAGGAAATCATATTACTGTAAATGCTGTTCTTCCGAGAAGCTCAGAGATCTAAGCAGACATTACGTCATTTCTCCTCCCAAATCTTATGAGACAGACAGTCAGAAGATCAACATCACTTTTTATAGGTCAGAGGAGTCTGTGTTGGGGCCAGCATTGTTTCCAGAACCCATGGCCTGCAGCAGGGAGCATGGTCTCCTCTGTCCTGCACTAACCACTCCTCAAGGCCGCTGTGACTTCAGCAAAGTCACAGTGAGTGAGCATGGGAACTGAGTGATAAGACAGAGTGCTAAATATGCATGCTAAACACAGCAAGGCTTCAGACCTTTACAGCATCAAACTTACTGACCTATTTGTGTTTTTATCTAGGCTTGATCATTCCCCCACACACCCGTGTTCAATCCTAACTTTCTCAAAAGAAGATGTGAGGCGGGGGAGGTGCAATTTATGCCACAATCCATTTCCAAGCCCAAGCTCACTTATTACTTAGGATAACAAAAGAGCTAAATAAGGTTTGTGGGCCCAAAGCTAATACAATTCTCACAACTCAGGAACATTCTATGAATATTATGATATATTCCTCTTCATTTAATGAAAAAAAAAAAAGAAAATACATATCATCTTGTAGGTCAAAGCCAGAGCAGATCCTGCTGCAAAATTTTGAAGATTCTCCCTGGTGCCACATGTTCATGGTCTTTCAATTCTCTTCCAATTGCCCTTCTTCCCACATATAGTTCATATCATGGCCTCTTCCAATGCCATTTGTCCACATTTGCCATTGGCAATGGAAGCCACTTTTCTGGGGCTCCAACACTGTCTTCTCCCACCACCTGCCTTCATTTAAATGTGCCATCATGCTGGCAAGATGGCACACATCTGTAATCCCAGCAGCTCAGGAGGCTGAGGCAAGAGGATCACAAGTTCAAAGCCAGCCTCAGCAATGGTGAGGCACTAAGCAACTCTGTGAGACCCTATCTCTAAATTAAATACAAAATAGGGCTGGGGATGTGGCTCAGTGGTCGAGTGTCCCTGAGTTCAATTTCTAGTATACCCCCAAAAATAAAACACTAAGAATGGATGAAATAGATACTGTACTGCTTTGCCATCTAGATACATTTCCAAGTGGATTGTCAGAATCTTCTTTAATCAATGTATTAAAAATATATTGAACATGCCAGTTTTACAGATCATGATTTTAATATGTTTTCAGAGTATAATCCTATGTGCTGATAAAATGAGACTCCTTACTGACATTCAGATCTCTTTCTAAAAAATGCCTACACATTCAGATTTAACTGTTCATTCAAGAGAGCTGCACTTGTTAGGCAAAAGTACTTTCAAACTCACCCACAGAAAAAAAGAAGAACTGATTAGAAAGAGGCTTCTAGGGCCCTGAAATAAATCAGCTTTTTCATAATTTTACACTCTCAAAAAAAGTTGCCTTTGCCTATAACTTTTCACATTTAACATCCCATGATAAATGTCTTAATCAAAGAACACTTGCAATACAGTTATATTATGATTTCTCAATACATCTTCCCTACTTCCCCCTTCTTAAAAATTCTTTGAACATTTTCCAAAAAGAATTAATTGAGGGGAAGGAGCTGTGGCTCAGTGGTAGAGCACTGACCTAGCACATGTGAGGCCCTGGGTTTGATCCTCAGCACCACATAAAAATAAAAAAATAAAATAAAGGTATTGTGTCCAACTACAACAAAAATAAATATTAAAAAAATAATTGAAATGAATTTTGTTTCAAAAGCATTGCAGGCAAACCTCACAGAAGTTGGAGAACATCTTCCTCACTCACTAATGCAGAGCACATTTCTTAGGCCCTCATTTCTAATCAATAAACAAAGGAATGAGAGAAAAAGAAGCCTCCCAAATGTTTAAGATGATACTTCCAAAGAAAGCTAGACTTATAAAAGAGTGGCATTTGAGCCAGTGCTCCCTCAGGAACTTACTAACTCTAAGTCAAGAAGAGCGTCTTTGCTCCAGGTGGCTGACTATGGGGTGGAACAGAGAAGCGTCCAGTTCTTCCCCAGACCTATGCAGCTGTGGCTGCCATGATTCTACATCCGAAGACTCAAAGAATGGGCTGCAGGAATGCTTACATGCTGCTTACAACCTGTTGGACTTAGATCCACACCTGCCACAATCCCCAGGAAAGACAGGGCATGAGACATTTACACAGCCAAGTGAGTAGCAAGGACCAAAGAGAACGGTGGAGATGCCCAGTGCCTCAGATCAGCTCTTTGCATACAGATAAAGTCACACAGTTAAATAAACAAGATGCTCTGAGATTAAGATGATTTTGATAACTCCTGATCTCCTGAATTTCTAACCTTATCACTACCTGGAGAATGTCTGGAACCCAGAGGGAAATGGTAGTGCTGGGATCAAAGGACATCAACTGAAAGTTTAAAAGGCAAAGAAGGAAACACTTCATGTGAGGGTCCCAGAATACAGCAATTTCTGTACCAATTGAAATTCTTGTATTTTATCCTCTATTCCCTACTTTTAATTTTTTTTCCTGATAAGCAATATATGCCATTGTAATAATTAGGTGCAATAAAAACCAATAAAGCACCAGGCACAGTGGTGCATGCCTGTTAATCCCAGCAGCTCAGGACACTGAGGCAGAAAGATCTTGAATTCCAAGCCAGCCTCAGCAAAAGCTAGGCACTAAGAACTCAGTGAGACCCTGTCTCTAAATAAAATACAAAATAGGGCTGGGGATGTGGCTCAGTGGTTGAGTGCCTGGGAGTTCAATCCACAGTACCCAAAGGAAAACAAAACAAAACAAAAACAATAATGCAAAGATAACTAACTACTGTTAACATATTATTGATTATGGCACATTTTATAATTCATGCATATATACTAACACATATTTTACAAAAATTGGGTGCTTCTGTTTTCTACCCTTTAGAGACTTAACCTTTTGCCTTGAACAATTTTAATAGCTAAATAGTGACAATTGTGCATTCACAAATATGTATATAACAGAATTTCTTGAAACAACATAGATGCCTTTTAAAAAAAATCCCTATAATGTCAAACAGGGTGCTCTGACCCTGACCACCCCATTGAGATTCATTCTAACAGTTAATCAATAAACAATAATAAGTGACTAGGATACCATAATCGGTTTCTTCTGAGAGATGTACCTCAGGTCGTTTGTAAAAACAAAAGCATTTACCAAAATCTATAAATTTGGGACAGAGATGTTTTATATTGAATTTTCTCATAAATGTCATAATGTAATGGTGACCTAGTACATGAATATAAACAAACGAATTAGGAAAAGACAAAGGTTTTCAATAATAAGCTTGAAAAGGACAATGAGGTAATTGAATTGTCTTACTTCCTGATAAAAACTAAAACTTAGTCAATTCGGA